ATTGAAGGCGGAGATCCAGCTATGGAGAAGATAGTATGACATAAATCTTTCCTTGTTTTCAACTGTTCAAGAGAGGATGGTTGAGATGATGGCACTTCAAACTGATCCTCACAACTCTCAACCATTTCCAATTCATTTGACGCTGCCTTGGCAACGTCAGTAAAGAATTCGGCCTTCAGACTTTGTTCAGCTTGGGTAAGGTAATTCATAACCTTGTTGTAGTAATTGGTACATTCTGTATATATATCAAGCGTGTAGTTCAGGGTCACTTACTTCTTGCATTAAGGATTTGAGTTCCTTAAGAGTGTCTAAGGCATTGCTCTTTGCGTCGAGTATTAGTGGCTCTATGTCTTCACGATCGGCAAAAGCTGTGCGCGGAAAAGATCCTATAGCATGCAAGAAAAATCATAAGAGAAATCAAGAAGAAGAAAGTTTTACCGGTAGAAGACGCCATTTCTTCTTTTTCGTTGCACATTAGGAGGGCGATATCTTATAGGGAAAGGTGGTAGGGTTTTATAAAAAGAAACAAATCAAATTGATTTTATTATGAAAGGACAATTAATGAAGAAAATCTAGGACAGTATATATTATGAATTGATTGATTTTAGAAATTTAAAATTGATTAGTTAAAACCTTGTTTTGGTCCCTTAATTTATGAAGAAGTCCTTTTTAGGTCATTAATCTGAAAAAAGAAAAAAAAAAAAATCCCCTTTTCAGTTTTTAAAGTTTAATTTTTTTACTCATTTTTAGTTGCTTAGTCAATTAAGTGCTGATATGGTACTGTTCTTCGTTAAGTATTTTACACTTTTAATTGTGAATGATGCATGAAAATTAAAAGGGGACACTTTGAATACATTAAGTCCTTATGTGCCAAATTATATGGTTCTTTTTACTTATTTGGAAACTCAAATGGGCCTACATGGATGAATTCATGGCTCAGCATTTAAGTTAATAAATTAAAATCTTAGATTAAAATAATATATTATCACCATTAATTTGGTAACTAAATACTTTAACTTTTAATTAAACCTCAATTAAATTTTAATTAAGTCAATGACTAATAGTAATTTTCTTATTGCGAAAGTAACTGAGTTTAAATAGTATGACATGCCAGTAAAATCGGTCAAAAAATAAGAGAAAATTATTTTTCATTATATAATTTAAGATAAAAAACAAAAAAAAAGTTAAATTTTAATTAAACATTTAACAAATAATTTCCCTAAACAACCAAGAGAAGTTCATCAACAATTTCAAATTTTCGTTTTGTTAATTATAAGGCTGTTTGGTATTGTAATTTGGAGTTAAGGATTTAGTCCAAACTGCTATATAATGGTCTTCAGTAATCTTTTCCCCTCACAAATTACTACATGATTAGTATTTGATAAAATTTTTTATTTAACAGTTCAATATTAATAACTAGCAATTAGAGCTTGGCTATTATCAAAAATTGAAAGTAGGTATGAATCCAGACTGCAAAACACTCTCAAAGTATAAAGCCATCTTTCTTCCACCTTCGTCTACTTGGGCTCGTCGGCGATGCAGCTTGCCTGTTGCTGAACAAATCTCCCATATACAGATGAAGGTGAGGCAATGGTGAAGGTTTGGATGAACATGGCCGATAAATAGAAAGATTAATTAAAAATATTTATAAATTATGCTTTGACCCAATTTTTTTTTAATCATCTCAGGTTGATCATCTAGTAATAAAGTTATTTATATAAGTACACCCTTCCATCTTAACTTTAAGCTCAAACAGGCATTTGAAACAGATTTGAGATGTCATCTGCAGTTTGTGTGACATTATACAGAGTAAACAAAAAAATGTCTGCAGATGCAGATACTTGAGCATTTTCTTGCATGTTTCTGGGAACAGGGAGGGGAAGAAAAACAAAAGAAAGATTGCTCATTATAAGCCCTAACCAATTTTACAGAGTAGATCATTAATGAATGAAAAATAGTACAAAGAATCGAGAAGGTCATGCAAATCAGTTAATGATCATCTG